GCCAAGTGAAGCGCTGTCTGCCCTTGAGTACTTTGTTGGTTGATTTGTACGCCGTGGGCAAGCAGAAGAGGCACCAATCGAGAGTAATTGTAAAAGCTCACATAGTGCAACAAACTCAAGCCAGCTTCATCGAGCGAATTGAGCTCCTCCAGCAACTCCTCGCTCGTATGTGCAACTGTTACAAGCTGATGCACGACGCGCACCAGTAGTTGCTCGGAAAGCTGCTCCAACTCATTGTCACTTAGCGCCTCGATCGTACAGTCGTCCAAAGACGCCGATGTATCGCCGAAAGAAGTCAACGAGGCTGGCGGTCCGTCGCGTATGCTTGGTTGAGGAACTGGCTCACCCGTGAGCTGTTCTTGGCAGGTTGACGCACAGGTCTTTCCAGATATCTGCTTACTCGGTAGAGCTGGTCCGCCGCTCACATCAGCAAATATGTCTTTCTCACCACTGGAACTTACTGACACACCAGAGCTGAGATTCTCAACTGCAGACGACTCCACAGCTTTTATCTGTATCGCTTGGTGAAACTCGGACAATCGCTCAACGACCCGAATCTTGCACTGCCGTTCGTCGACTAGTCACACATTGCACCAAACAGTTACGGTATGAGCTTTTGCGGTGAGCGCCGGATGAAGAAATGACGGCAAACAACTTACGATCCGACTCAACGTATGTCGACAACGACCGGTTCGATCCTAGAAAATTGTTCAGCGGCCGGTTGCTATCAACAACGGGATGGGAATGACTAGCACGAGATCGAACTCGCTTGCCCGTGCCGAAGGCGCTGTGTGCAGAACGGGATACTGCAAGTTTCGGCAGGTCAACAGCTTCCTCTACTGCACAAACGTGTCCATCCGTCGCTCCTTCGCCCACAAGCGATGGAGACGCCTGTCGGTAACTTCGGTAGGTGAACTTTCTTCTCTGTGATAGCTGAAAAGCCTCTTGTTGTAGACTTTCGATCCGATGACATACGTACATGTCGACAATGCCGGTATCTATACAACCAGGAGCTGGGTCCACACAAAGTGCAGCATCGTCGCGGATACAAGAGTATGAGTATCGTGCGCGGGTGCCAACTACTACGAAACTCGACATGCGCGAAACAAGTACCTGTACAACGTAGCATCGTGTCCGAAACCACTTCTGCGCGAGTTCGTTTGGCACCAAACTGCACAAACAAATTCGTGGTATCGTGCGCGACACCCTCTGGAAGGCTCGCTGCCAGACAGATCAAAACCTTGGCCCCACCGTCTTTGAAGTCCCAGTCAGGCGAGAAATCAGAAATTTTAGTCAGGAAGGGTTGCCGGCTTTTCGATCCGAAAGTACGCTCTTCGAGAGAATCGGCACAGCCCAGGTCATACATTCGGTCGTCTGCATGAAATTCTGCGCTCTTCTCGTCCATTTTGCCCCCCTTCAGCAACGCTATATTTGCATCAAAATTGTGTACCGACAACGTCTGAGATTTTGTTGCTCGGGGCCCCGAATCCGTTATGTCGAAGCAGCCTAGACACAAAATTACAACAGAAGACTAATGGTCACGTAACCGAATAAATACTCGACGCATATCGACACCGTGTACATACTTTTCACGATGGATTCAGCTGTTTCGTCAGGTGCCACAAAGTTCAGTGGACGTTGTTGCTGGAGCGGTGACATCGATACAGCAGCAGCGGGCAACGACCGATCGATTTCGTTACTTGACTTGCTTACGCGTGTCAACACTCGAGGTCCCACTCCACCTCTGTTCATCTCGTCAAAGTAGTGCACAAGGACAATGTGTTTCGTGGAATCCCGTATGTAGTAGATCCTACGATGGAATGACTACAAGTAACTCATCAGAAACAGCAAGTCGATATCCACGATGAAGATGCATCGAAAAACTTCCAGTTCGTACCGCAACGACTAACTTACGGAAATCTCGGCCGAATGCACATAACTTCCCAAGATGATGACCTCTCGGTTGATCACGAGCTTTGCGCGGTCCTCACGAACCTGCGTGTCACACAAAAAGCCTGCATCAGTACGGCGTTGTAGCAGCAGCAGCAGCAAAACATGGCATCAACACACAAAAAGCACCGCCGCACCCGTCCACTCTTGTCTTTGCGCTTCTGCCAACGCCATCCATCTTTCTTGTAGTCCGAGACCTCCAGTGTGCTGTAGAACAGCAACGTGCCGCCTGTCCACACGCCGATAGAGTACCGTAAGTGACAATCCGTCGATAACGGATACTCGTAAACAATGCCTCAAAAAGCTCTTTTTTCCATTACGCGACCAGCGAGACGTACTTGGTGGTCGTGGCTGCACCGAGCAGACCAGCGGGACGCTCCCCTGCTTGTAGTGCAGCAAGAGGAACGCCAGCTCGTCCTTCACGAGCTACCGCCGAGTCGCTTCGTTGCGCAGAAAGGCTGCGCGCGCTTGGGTCATTCGCCCGCTGGGTCGTGTCACGTCGTGGCGTTTCGTGACAGTCAGTAAACGAAACAGTGACTCCCGCCGTGTCGCAGAGTTGTTTTTATTCTGCAAAAAGCAAAAGGTGCGAATCGACGATGGGCGACCGTCGGAAGTGTTTCAGCATAGTGGCGAAGGGCCGTATCAGTGTTTCAGCATAGTGGCGAAGGGCCGTATCAGTGTTTCCACGGGGTGAAAACGAGTCAGAGTAGAAACCGAATGCGGGAAGCATACGGCACGCATATTCCCAAGCCGTGTGTACATACCAGTTTCTAGCTTCATGGTCATATCGACACTAGCATACGCTCGCTCGCTCTCCTAGAGCAGGGGTTGTCGTAGTGCCAAGATACTCAGTCGAAATGGTCGTACAGATGCATTCGACTTTCTGCTATTATTCAGTCAGCTGCGGCAGGTTCGACTGCAAGTCGAAGTGAAGCCGCAATAGTGAGGCACTTACTGCGCTCTCCACCTCATATGCTGACCGAGCTTGACGCATCATCCGCATGACTGCAGAGCGCTCCACACTGCCCATGATCCTTCGTCAGTACGTTACCGCGACAATCTCCACGCTGTCAGTCACTTTACCAGTTGCTGTATCGGATGCGCCGCTTGCGCTCGTGCAGCGACATGTGCTCAGACAGTCGTCTTACAGTTGCAGAAGAAGTCCCAGCATCGTCCACGCCCACGCGAAATTCTCGGACGTGGTCTCGAACCCCCATAGACCGAGTTTGCCCGCTATACGCTGCGAAGACGCTGCCGTCCTGGAGTCCACGTTTCCATCTCCCCCATCCTCAGGCTTCCAAGTGATACACACGACCAGGGGAGACGCCACCGAAGTGGGCAATCTGGGCAGCCGCGCGTTGTTGCTTGCTCGCCATCTTCTTCTCATGCCAAGCACAGCGCTCGGGGTCCTGCATTGTGTCTACTTGCCACGCAATGTTCGGCACACGCACCAACTTGGCCGTCGTAGGGGACGTAGTGTTGGCATACAGCTGCTGGTACACTGCGATAGTGGCCACTTCTTCAATACCTGCAACAGAGCCGATCCCCTCGACCTCGAGGCGCAACGCGTCGCCCATCAAAACAAAGCCCACTTTGGCCAGTTGATCGAGGTTCCACAGCGCGAGTGTGTTCCACGGCGACGTCAACCCACTCAGTTCAATCGGCTGGCTCTCAGGATCCGGCTGGAAGTCGTGGCCCGGCATTGCCGCGCCCACCACGAGGTCACGCGAGTGGTCAAAATGCGAGTGTAGCAACTCGATGCTCGTCGCATCGACGTCCATTTCGAGCGACTGCAAGAGCAAAGAGGTGGCCTTTGGAAACTGCTCGGCCGCTGCCCCGATCAACGCGTTCAAAGCCGGCACGAACTTCCCCCAATAAAGCACAGGAATGATCCTCACTCGACCAAAAAATGGTCGTACACTCGTCTCACGCTGCAGGTGAGTGCAGAGCTCGCGCACGGACGCGATAAAGTCGTCAGTCGTAGATACATGAGCAGCTGTGAGCGATCCGGCCATGGCGACGGGAAGACCGACAGCGATCAGGATCCCGCCATCGGCATACGTGGCTGCACGGTCGCAGAATGCAAGCACTTGGTTCAGTACCTTGGCGACGTCGATACGCTTGTGCTGCGAGTGGCTGTGCCAATGGAGGCGCGCGCCGACCACGACCTCTCCTGCCATTTGCTCGCTTGTTGAGACCCGATTCTTTTCTGAGAACCTGAGACAACAGTCGTACAATTCAATGTGCTAGAGAAAGGCTTATTTGCTCCGAGGTGCGATCGATCACAGTAAAGTACTTCTTCTATACTGTGAGAATCGCGACGAGGAAGGTAATAAATGCAGTGCGGACAGGAATGATATGACCATCAAATCTTTTCGACACATTAACACAAATAAATCGAATAGGGGGCGTAAATATAGCCAATCGAAAGCGCTGGCGTTGGACAAGAGCATTATGTTGCGACATTACTTTTAAAAATTGGAGGCCTACAGCCCCAGGAACGCCAAGAAAAATGGAGAGGGCAGTAAAATAATGATATAGCCACCAAGCATCGCCGCGTTATATGTCACCGTCACGGCGTTGTTT